ATTAAGTTGTCTCCACCTAACACTCTCCTCTAAATGCTATCACGATGATTGCATCCAACATACCTTTACTAGTGGCAGAGCATTGGTGCCAGTATGGGAGGCAATTGGGTATAATTAGAAGTCCAAACTAGTCTTCCTTACTGGCACAGGATGTCATAATGGCATCACCTCTACCGACTATCTTGAACAGGTTCTGAAGCCAATTGTCAGACTGATCTTCAAAAATCAGCTTGGATTTGATTCTACGGAAGGCGACTTTGTGGAGGACTCCGCACCATGGCATGGAACCAAGGTTGCCTTAGTTGAACCCAAAAAATAACTCTGCATCCCAGTTCACCCAAGACCGACCTCCTCACCCGACTTGAATCCGATTGATAATGTTTGGTGCATTCTCAAACCATGGATCAAAGCACGCAAGCACTTCCCCGGAACCCTGGCAGAGATGCACAAGGCTGTCCAGGCAGAGTGGGATAGACTACAACCTTCACATCGGAATAGGTTGGTTGATAGTATGCTGGGTAGACTGAGGGAATGCTGTGAGCGAAATGGCTTACAAACTCGTTATTAAGTCTTTCATCCTCATCAGACTGTATTCTATTTTTATCATCATTTTCTGCATTGAAATTGTTGAGAAACCATCTGTTTTATGATTGTTACTTGTATTCTACTCGTAACTTTTTATGCCAAGATCGTACAGTACAGTACAATGCACTGCCGTAGTCACTCCTCAGCCGTACGTTAATTTAAACGCCCGAGTACAAGTGAACATAGTATCGTACCCAAATACGGACTCCTCCTCCTAAGGCCCTGGGACGACAGGAGCAGAACACTTCTTTCCTTTCAAACACTAACTCGAATTATCTATTTTATTTTGCTTTGTTATCAATCTCTTCTCGGCTTTTGGCAATTTGAAATTTTATCATCTCCACAAATATTGCTCTTGTTGATAATTAGGAGACGTGGGACCGGAGAGGAGTGTCTTCTGAGCGCTTTCATGGATGATAAAGCCATATCCGCTTAAGGGTGAAGTTGTTAGTGGAAGCTTTCGAAAATTATTTGTGTTGGTTTTTTCATTGATTTCAGGTGCCGGGCACCCTGTAGGGCTGTACTGTATTGGTATTCGAGTATATCGCGGTGGATTAGGACAAGCCATGCGCTCCTGTGATGTGTGCCGGCGGATAGTGTACCGCGGACCATTCCAGTGTCTGCATTGATACTGTAGGTTTACAGTATCGTGGTTCAGAGATGCCCTTGGAACTCGAATTCTCGGCTAGGTTTTTCTTTGTTTATTTGGGAAACCATTTTTTAGTGTAAACGGGTATTTCTCCCTTTTTCCGGAAGAGGAAATTTGGGACCGCAGTATCATATCATACCTACTCGTCCTGTCATGACGTTTGTGAAATGGACCGGGCTTGCATGGTGGCGCAAGGGAGTGTAGGGGTGCATATTGGGATACAAGAGCCTCAGAATGATATTGAATATGGTAAATAGAAGAAAGGAAATAAATCACAAATACCATATCATATATTCAAACAATGTTAATAAACAAAATAAAATAAATATTAAAAAATCAAAAATTAAAATTATTTCCTCCTTCATCATCAATACATGCTCTAATGCATTCAGGCATAGAATCAATATGGTGATTGATTCACTCCTGAGGATATTCTCTCCATACCTGAAATTAAATAATATAAGTAGTTTTCTAATTAATGTAAAATCAGGAATAAAAATTGAATGATAGTAACTTACCTGCTCTAGGATAATCCTAATCTGATGTGCAATCATGCGGGTTCCAATCTGTTGGCGGATTTGATCTTTCATCTCTATCTAAATCGTTTCGATTGGATTGAGGTCTGGGGAGTTTGTGGGCCAAACAATTTTAGAAAATCCAAGCTTCTGGTGAGGAATATTATGATAATAGTGGACATGTGCTGGAGCATTGTCCTCCATTATCATAATATTTCTGGCAGGAAACTCAGTAAGTACTTATTCGGTAAATGGATATAATAAGGGACGAATAATATGTTCACGATAAATATACCAGTCGATACCGCTCCTCCAATCTGCTTTTCTCGTTTTCAATTCTGGGTCTGGAAATGGTATTTCCAGACTCATAACAGCTGCCCTCATATTTTCCACTAACTCATCTTCATACTCCTTTTTCAAGGCTATAAGAGAGTCCTTCAATTGCTTTGGAGTCTCATATGGAGTTGTATACATATGATATGGAAGTTCATTACCTGTATATTAACAATTAATAATAAAATTATATACAAATTTAATAAAAATCAGTTCATTCTTTAATCAAAAGTCTATATTTACATACCGGATTTTCCATAAAAAATAGCCCCCCAAAACATCACCGTTGCTCTTTGAGCAAATTTCCTGTCTATATTTTGCGGTTGATATGCTTCTCCAGCACGACGTAAAATACCATGAGCGTAGCGGGACTGGAGATTACCCGTTTCAAAGGAGGATTCATCTGTAAAGATGAGTTCCTGCCAGCCACGTCCCTGATGTTGATAACAGAAGGCAAGCCGTCTAGCCTTCTGATCAGGACTGAGGGTTGGTTTCCATATGGGTTTGCAGCGAAAGATTTTATTTTCACGAAGAGCGTTGAAAATTGCTTGTCGACTAACATCTAGTTCAGCTATTTTTTATTATTAATTACATGTACTAGTAGTTATATAATGTGATTGGGGATTTACTTGTAATGTCGTGATATTTGTGAACACAGCTACTATTGCATACCACCAAAATTAGGAGGCATGAGCTGATTGTTTGCTTGTAAGTAATAGCAATTATGTTCACAAATGTCAAGGTATTACAAGTACAATATATTTAAAGAGAAAAAATAAGAAAGGAGTTTCTTCCTGCTTCCATGTTAGGCGGAGACAACTTGATAGACTTCAAGGTTGTCTAGGCCAATCAAGATTCCTTTCTGTAGACGGAGATTGTCTAGGAAGGCTCGGACTTTGCTCGTTTCGTTTATGACTACTAGGAGCAAAGTAAAATAGATAAAGTAGGGTAGAATCGTAAAAACAATATTATATTGTTAAGGTCTCTTCTCCGTTACTTGATGATGTCTAAAGCTTGAGAGGCACTTCGGTATTTATATTCCATGTATGAGTGTTCGCGGACTACATCTATTTATCATACAACTATGTACTTCTTCAATCATAATTCGCGACGTCGAGTTTTCTTCCGAGGTGTGAACACCTGTGGACCCTGAAAACCATCACACCCTCTTCGGTAATTACGATATTTCTTCTTAAAAAACATGCTGTCCCCAATAGTAATATCCCGATTAGCAGGGTCTTTAGACTTATGGCCTAGTTCTTAAGTCGAACTGAGTTGGCCCCAATTGTCTTTGCCATTGATAAAATGATCAGTTTTATCCACGGCTATATCTGCAAAGATGGTCAGCATTACAACCATCGTAGGTTGTCTGACTCCGATCCTTTGTAACTCCATATCCAACTGATAGATTTTCTCTGGAATACTTTCTATTAACTCGCAGGAAGCTATTCCACCAGATTGGTAATTAATTCCTCAGTCGGCAACCCTTGGTTGCTCTCTGGGTAGTAGGTTTCAATAACCATTGTAGTCTTGGAAATTACCCCATGACTACGATATGTTCCGAAACCCAGTTGCAACACTCCGTGAAGTTCGTTGGCTTCTTTAGTAGTGTCTTTTTGGAGTTCTAGACTCTTCTGGTGGATGTAAATGTATTGGTCTCTAGTAGAGATCCTTTATCATTTGATACCATCTCTTTGTACGAAATCGTCCTGTTACTTACGGCTTATACCAAAGGTGTCATGTCTTTGAAGCCAAGTAACTCTCTGAGTAGTTGACGGAATTACTCTGTTCTACTTCCTAGACCTAGCCGAAGGTCCCCTCTCATATACCCTGCGAACAGGATCTGGTCGGACGGACAGCGACGACATATATGGTATTATTCTAACACCTTCAATTCCGTGGTAATATAGTCACAGGATGCAATTGAGATTAATATATATGATGACGCGCGGGTCCCGTAAGGGAGCCGGAGGAGGGTGTTGGAGACCAGAGATTCTGATTCCGAGTAGGGTTACCCTACTTAGGGTGGTTCCTAGGAATCGGGTTCTGGTATTCCAAACATTCCACTAGCTGAGAAAAGGTCATCCGGCAATGTTCTGCATCTTGAAGAGTTACCTCTACCAAATGCTGTTTGTCCGCCAGGGTAAGTGCCTGATTAGCACCTTTGATGGAGTTTGGAAGGGGAGCAAGGTTTTTGTCAGCACAAAGATCAAGCATTTGGTTGTCGCTGGCCCTTTCTCATGCTGTTCGAATGATATTTGAACAAGTACTTATTAGTACCCTGGTTTGTTCAGATATCTCCTTTAACGTCATCTTTTGACTTCCCTTGAGCATTGCATAGCCAACAATTTGTCCCCTCTTGGCCATTGAAGTTGTTCGTCCCTGTGGTGTTGACATTTTACTGATTTTAATGAATCTTTTAAATATTGAAGTAAATATAGAAAATTGCAATACCCTTCTCTCACGAAGAATCATCTCTATTAATAATATTAAATCTAATCTATTTGGCCTATTCTCATTGGTCATTACTCTCTCCAGGTACCTCCTTGCACATTTATGCACCCCCTTGCACCACCATGCAAGCCCGGTCCATTTCACAAACGTCACGACAGGACGAGTATGGTGGCACATGGTCCGTTTGTTCGTTCTCTGGGGAGAGACCGGAAGAATGATGATCCACTGCTTAGTCATCAAAGATTAGATCGGCTAATCAGTCCAGGCTTATCCAGGGCTACCTTTCTATTTTGCCAACAGAACATTTCGTCACCTTAAAATACCGGTAGCACAAAAGAAAAAAGAGACCCCTCAACTCGAAGAATACAGCTCAAACAACATACCTCCGCATTGTCATTACTTCTCTCCATTTATCCCATCCTCAAAATTATTCCTCACTCATCCATGATCATTTTCATCATACAATGAGTGCCCGTTTGCTTTCCATGGGAGCCGTCTCGGCCGCTTTCTCCCGCCGTCCTCTGCTTCGTGCCGCCACTAGTCGTCGTCTATTATCATCTCCTATGTCAACCATGTTTGCCAGCAGAGCCCCTCCAACTTCAGCTGGCCTTCTTCGTATTAGTTATGCATCGCGTCCACGCACATTCCTACGGGCTGGGCAGTTATCCAGATCCCATTCTGGTGCTGCTGCAGTTAGGTCTTTAAGTTTCTCCCGCGCAATTCCAAAGCTAGTTTACAAGTTCGCAAGGCTCCCCGTGGCTTTCGGCGGGGCTACGGTTGCCGGCCTCGCCTACGTTCAGTATCAAGCACAACGTGAGGACCTCAAATCTTGAGATTGTATGAAATAAGCTAAATTTGTGTCTTTAGAGGCTGGAACTTACGCTATCGGCCTTTTTAACTCGGCAGGCGAAATGGTAGGAACTGCGATTGCTGGAGCAAAAGGGACCGCTGGGGATCTCTATGGAGGTTTTAGTGAAGGTGTCAATAACCTCGAGTTTCCAGAATGGATGCAAGATCTCTTGAGCTTCAGAAAATCAGGAGTTGGTGGGGGTGGGGGTGGTGAGGGTGCTAGTGGGGGTGGTGGGGGTGGTGGGGAGGGGGAAGGGTCTGGAGGTGAAGGTGATAATCGGGCCTATGCAGCAGGTGCTGCTGCTACGGCAGCCGCGTTCGGATATGGCGACGATGATACGAGGTCCGAACAACAAAGCGCTAAGGATGATCAGATGATGGTATTGACAAAGAAGATGATTGAGATAAGAAGCATCTTGCAAAAGGTGGGCCAAACGGGAGCTCTCCAGTTGCCTTCTATCGTGGTTATCGGATCTCAGAGTTCTGGTAAAAGTTCTGTCTTGGAAGCGATTGTCGGTCACGAGTTTCTTCCTAAGGGATCAAATATGGTGACCCGTCGGCCCATTGAGCTCACCTTAATCAATACACCTGATTCGCCATCTGAGTATGGAGAGTTTCCGGCTCTGGGTCTCGGCCGCATCACTGATTTTACCCAGATCCAAAAAACCCTGACAGATCTTAACCTGGCAGTTCCAGAAGCTGACTGTGTCTCCGATGATCCTATTCAACTGAATATCTACTCTCCAACTGTTCCAGACCTCTCGCTCATTGATCTTCCTGGATATATTCAGATTAGCGCCTTGGATCAGCCCGAGGAGCTGAAGGCGAAGATCGCGGCTTTATGTGACAAATATATTCAACCTCCGAATGTAATCCTCGCAATCTCGGCTGCGGATGTTGACTTGGCAAATTCCACGGCACTAAGAGCAAGTAGGCGAGTCGATCCAAGGGGAGAAAGAACAATTGGGGTTATCACAAAGATGGACTTGGTTGACCCCGGACGAGGCAACGCAATTCTGAAAGACAGGAACTATCCCTTGAGGCTGGGTTATGTGGGCGTTGTCTGCCGGCCGCCGAGCACCAAGTTCTCATTCGGTCGAAATGTCAACATCACAAATGCCATCAGCAAGAACGAGAACACCTTTTTTGGAGCACATCCGGAGTTTGCGGCACCGGATAGCGGTGTTACTGTTGGCACAACAAATTTGAGAAAGAAGCTTATGTCTGTCCTAGAGCAAACGATGGCCCAGAGTCTTCAGGGCACTAGCGATGCTATTCATCAGGAACTAGAGGAAGCTACCTATGAATTCAAGGTCCAATACAATGACCGCCCTTTGACGGCAGAAACATACTTGGCCGAGTCCTTGGATAAATTCAAGCACTCTTTCAAGGACTTCACTGAGCACTTTGGGCGACCGCAGGTTCGGCAGCTCCTGAAGCGTGAACTAGATCAGAAGGTGCTTGATTTCTTAGCTTCGAGGTACTGGAATAAACCCCTTAGCGAGGATAAATCTTGGAACAGGCTCGACGAACGACCTATATCTGAACTGCCCAACACCGATTCTGAGAACCTTTATTGGCAGAGACGATTGGACGCCTCTACATCTGCTTTGACCAAGTTGGGGGTTGGAAGGCTTGCAACCAATGTCGTAGCCAACGCTCTTCAGCAACACATGGATCGCCTCATCTCTGAATCAACCTTTCGCGCACACCCCTTTGCCAAGCAGGCTATCCAGGAAGCTACAAATGCAATTTTGAACGAAAGATTCTACTCGACGAGTGACCAGGTCGAGAACTGCATCAAACCTTACAAATTCGAGATTGAGGTGAATGACCGCGAATGGGCTCAAAGCCGGGAAAATTCGCAAAACTTATTAAAGGAGGAACTTAAGGCTTGTGAAGATTCTTTGAAAAATTTGAAGAGCAATATTGGGCCCAAGAAACTTCTTCAAGTTATGTCTTTTGTCGACAAGCTCCGGCAAGGAGAACATGCAGATATGAAGGAGGGAACAGAGGCATTCGGTTTTAGCCGACCCCTGTTACAAAAAGGTATGCCCCGTGACGTCGGCAATCATGTTTAACAACTAATTTGCGGCCAGGGAGGGAAGGCGTCTTCCTAAGGGACAGGGCAGAGATACTTAAGATGCGCTTGGTTGCTCTCAAGAGCAAGCAGTGCGCAACGTCAGCGAGCAAATACCATTGCCCTGAGATTTTCTTGGATGTAGTCGCAGAGAAACTTACGTCTACCGCGGTTCTGTTTTTGAATGTAGAGCTGCTCTCAGAGTTTTATTATAACGTATGATGAAATTTCCGAATCTATTACTTAGCCTTGTTCTGACGAGTCCACTAGTTTCCGAGAGAACTCGATAACCGTCTTGGCCGACATCTCTCAAAACAGCAGGTCGAATCGTTTGCTAAAGAGGACCCCAAAATCCGAAAACATATTGAGCTTCAACAGCGAAAGGAGCTTCTTGGGTTAGCCCTTGAAAAGATGGAAAGTTTGATGGCCTTAGAGAAGAGTAAGAAAGCACCGGTAGTAGGCGAAGGGAGCGTCAGAACAGGCAGATGGGGCGGGATTTTTTGTGTTACGGAATGACGGCGTTCAGTGGAATGGTTGACTTTCTTCTTGTTTTTCCCCTTCTTTCTCGTCCGTACTTTGACGCATTTGGGCTTCTTTTTTTTCAGATTTGTTGGCTGTCTAATTCTGGTACGATATCGTGTGATGGTAATTTCCAACTCTTATCCCACGGCTCCAAAATACACTTTTATTCATGCGATGGGTAGTTGGGTGCGGTGACTCATGAAATTGGGTTTCGGCGGAACGCTTGGCAAAAGAGCGTCATAACATAATATCATATAGGCGATTTTGGAAAATGTATCTATTATTATGAGAAATACGATAACAATGGCATCTTTTGGTAGGGCACGATACTTGTATCCGAGATAACCTATTCTGTAACACACATCATACTTCGCCTTTCTTCCCAATACATTTATATGTAGGGTTGACGACCTGTGAAGAATACACACAGTACTGTGCTGCTCGTGCTACTGCAAGCAGCCTCTAATCGCAGAATGCGTTTCCTCTCCCCCCAGTCTACAGTCCCTACCTGCGTGCGATACCTCGTGCTCGCTGCTCACGGTAAATGTTGTTGTCCCTCAGTACAGCATAATGGAGGCCCCCAATTGTGCAATACCACCCCTCCCTTATGCCACAGTAATCCCGATTGAGAGGAAAACTCCGTTTTTTCGAAGAAATTTGCCCCGCAGCTGTACCATATCTCATATCCCCCGGACTTTCCACCACCCGGAACTCTGTTTAACCCCCCCTCCCCTTCCAACGTAAAGGCCACAAGCAGTGGTATCCTTGGGTAATCTAAGGACCTAAAATCCCCGACCGGGAAGACCATTCCCGTTTTGGGTATACGTACTCAAATCCTGCGTGTTTTTCCCGCAAGTATTGGTTGCTGAAATGCTGGATCACTTGGGGCGTTTGAAAAAATCCTAAATTCTTAGCCTGGAATATCGTAGACTGGATAGCTAGCTGCTGTCTGTCGAGCCTGGCCAAGAATTATTATTTTTTATCACAGACACCAAGGAAAGCTTTTCAACTGGGAAACAAAGTCAACCTTATATTGAGATACAAAAGAATGTAAATATGATACGAACATCCAAATCCAGAGCTGATCTCTGCCATGCCTACAAGTCGGTAGACGTTCCGGATCAGCCATATCGTACAATCCATGGTGTCGTATCAACCGCTATCCAAAACATACTAGATACTGCGGAGTTAGAAATAGGGCTATAAGATCCTATTTATTATTATTTTAGTTTGTATAAAAACCCCTAGTGGGTCTTTCTATAACACCATCGTACTTTCTCTTTTACCGGTCCCTAAATCGTCAGGACAAACTTCAATTGCTCACCGAGTGATCACTCATGACGGCGAACAATCACCCAGCAAGCTGACTCCCAGGCGGACACTGCTCGCAGAATGATAGCGTAGCACGGTGTGTGTGTGATATGTGGTTCTATCCCACCCGCAGAATTCATTCCTCGAGAGCAAGGGATCGAGAGAAAATCTTAGGAGGGTTTCAGCCGGATTTTCCGTTTTACCGCTTCGCACCTCCCCCCCTTATCCGGCCAGGCGAGATTGTTGGAGGGAGAGGGGAATTCCGTAATACTGGTTAAACCATCTGAATATCATATCATATCGGTAAATCGAAAAAGTAAGAAGCCTAAAGACAAATCTTTTGATGTTTTTTTTTTCCTCTTCTTTTTCTCACGAGTTTGGTGACTGGGGGTGGACCGGTTTCTCTCATCACGCCTCCCCCCGGGCGCCCTCGCTGGGAGCATGTGCGTTCTTGCTCTTTGTGATAATAATATTATGATAGCTTCGCATCGTATCCTTTCCCGCCACCGGTTGAGCACTAAGCGGATGAGAGGTGGTAGTAATCTAAGGTTAATCAGAGAAATTAATCTGGTTAAGAAAAAAAGAACTTGAACTATCTAGTAGTTGGGAACGACATGTTCCGGTACGATGTGATGGGAGCAAAGATGACCGCAAAATCTCGGATGCTGAAGCCAACCCCCCCCCTTCCCAGTATCGTGGGGCTTCCAGCGAGCGCTCCTTACCGCAGCTATATGTTTGCACTTCTATAAGGTATCCTGGCACCTCGGCAGTGACTGATATGATACCTGCCTTGGCACTAAGGTGTCAGAGCACTCTAATATATATGATAAGCTGGAAGGTATCGTATATACCGACTTCCATCGGTCATCACTCGATAATACAAGAAGCAACCAGAGGTCTCGGAAGGTTCGTGGGCTTTCCTACATTGTTTCCCCCTCAAGTCTCCCTCGGGAAAATTAGCGATTCAGATTGTAAAAAGAAGGGGAAAAAAGAGGAGGAAAAAAGGAGAGGAAGAGGGGTATCCGGCATATTCTAGCAAATACAGAGTTGGACGGATCCACAACGTGAGCCCTCCCAGCGGTGGGGTGAAAGGGGAAAGGAAACCAAGTTCTCGTTAGAGTGGGCGGGCCGTTCAATGGAATAGTGCTTTCCTTCATCGTCACGCGCAGGAATAGGTTCCAATCGGCTACCTCTAATGGCTGCATGCACTTTTTACGGGTTGTGGTTCTAGAATCTCACGCGTTTTGAGATACTATCTCCGAGCGAATTTTTGATTGTTTGGAGATTTGCGCGGCAAAGCGTATATCACCTCTGGGGGTCAACAATGACTGTTCTTTCCTGAATGAAGGTCTATGATCGGATTCTGGTCCGAGCTGTGAAAGGATATTCCAGAGCAGTAACATTACTTAAAACCCCCAAACCTATCACACGAATCTGAAGACACCATTAAACTTTGCATCATCGATCCGCCTTGGGTTAATAGACAAACAACGAATCCTCATAAAGCATTCTTTTGATAGCCCAACCGATCCCTACCTCGAACCCCCTTCTACTCAAATTTGTCAAGTTTGCAATAATCCTCCGCAAAGCGCGCTAATTCTATCAGAAATCTCCCTACCGGCACCAGCATAGACTCAAATGTCGGTGAGTCCATGAGCATAAAGGCTATCGAGTCTCGTGCGCACATTTTCACCGTTGTGCAATTGACAGCCCCAAGGAAACCCAATTCCGTCTGCGGTGCAATATCGGTTGCAATTGAGAGGCCTCGCACAAATGGCACTTGTGGTTGAGCCAGCAGGGTGTAAGATACCCAGCTATCTCTTGCCATGCTGTAAATTGGGCGAGGGAGTTGAGTAAATGAGAGACTTCCTGCATCGTATGGGTCATCGTGCATGTTGCCTTGGTCGACTAGCTCCGGGCCGCCCTGACCCCTGTCGTATCTAAACTCATATGTATGATTCCCAAGGCCATAACCCACAGAAACATTACTAATACTTAAAGCTATTAGGTCGTTCTCGTGAATACCTGTCGGGTTAAAGACGAAGAGGTACGAGCTAGGGAATGTATAGCGAGGGCCATTGTGTGGCATCAGGTCCATGGTGAAAGGTGTCGTCGAACCTGAATAAAATGTCGCAGAGCTATATAGTGGGGCCCCACCCCAATTCGTCGAGTTGGCAGTTTCGCTGTCTAAGGCTTGCAGCATGATTGTGGTTTTGTATCCGAAATCGCTACATAAAGCTGATCCTGGCACCAAAGGAGGCAGTGTGTGTGTTCGCACTGCCACAAAAGAGGCGACAATTGGCCCGGCTACACAGACGAGAACTCCTAAGATTACCCCACCGACGAGTACTAGAACTCCTGGGCCACGAAGCGTACGACATTTGCCGAATGGTGGTTTCCTCGTTACCCCCCCACTCTCGGTCTCGCTCGGTATCCTGTCTTTTCCCCACTTAAGACTCACACAATCAATGAAGGTCCCCAGAAACATGATATTGGCTAAGGCCGTACCAAACCCAACCATAATGTAAAAGAACTGAAAGATGATTGGACCTGGAGTCCCAAACCTAAGATCAAGGTTTTGGCGGTAGAACTTAGACCCCCGATAATGAGTCCCAACGATGTCCAAGGAGAACATTACCAAGTATGGGATGTTTGCTAAAATGGCAAACGGCCAGATAGAACAGGACGCATTAACTGAAGAAGGAGCGATGTGGGTGGCGGGCTCAGAGTGCTGAACCAAATAAAACAATGGCGCCGGAGATCCGGAGCCACCGCTACCTCGCCCCTGGGGTAGTTGGAGGAACGGCTGTCCTGAATCCCCGATGGAAGGCGGAACTATAGCAGTAGTACTGCCGGCAGCAGTCCCAGTCCCATTCGCCCCCGCGGGGGCGATAGAGGGAGTGCCTCTGTTGAGATCCTGTGGGGAAACGCCGGAGAGACCCATAAAACTCTCGGGTCTTGCAGAAGGACCTGGGAATCCACACACCCTTGCATCCTCAGTCTCTTCAGTTAACGGCATCACACCCGCCAAATCAACCCTCTCATTCCAAGCATCAAGAACGGGTTCTGAAGCCGACACCTGGGTGAGTTTGGCGCGGCAGATTGGTGAAGGTAGAGGGGACACATCGTCCTTAAACTTGTAACTTTCATGATTTCTGAATTTGTTGGTACTCATATCTGCTGGTTGCTGGCTAAGATGCTGCGGTAGGAAAATGGACAGGGAGCATGAGAAGGAAGAAATCTTGTGAGATGCAGCAACTTGGTATGTCACAACGTCCGTTCCATTGTAGAGCTTATTCGTCAGTCTAAGCATGCTCGAATATTACGAAAACTTAAGAGATATTCGTCATTCCCCTCCAGCAGTAAATGCCTATGCCAGCTTCCGAGAAATACGTAAGGGTCAATGTCTTTTATTACTTTCGAGTGATGCTAGATGATGCGAGTTCCCAGTACCAAATAGCTGAGCTTAGCTTGTAAGATAGAATAAACTAGAAAAGGGCTCACAGACTTCGGTAGGCTATAATAAGTTCGGGTAATGTGATAGATACACAACAGGGGCCGTCAACGCCGTTCTACGTTCTATCATAACCTCCGAAATACCACTGCCCACCACCACTTTAACCTATGTCAACACCAACAGTGGCATGCCCTAGACTTCCAAAATCACACCCTGCCATGACAGAACACTCATCAAGATAGGGCTTGATGAATTGTCATCCTCTCTCCAAAGCTCCAGAGCTCCAATGCTATACTGGACGAGGTTTAACTCATTAACCCAGGTTCATACAATCCCAGACCTGCATACGGGGGCAGCGCTCAACCATAATATTTCACACCAGAACTACCCAGCAAGACAAATTATCTACACAGCTCCAGCTTAATTTCAGGCAGCCTTACCATCAACGACAGTTGTCTCCGGAAATGTCCCAATGAATTTGCTCTCCATCCTGACCATCTCTACCTCCCCGTTCGGGAGTCCGAAAGTGACACGCGCAGAATTGAGAACTTGGTCATTTACTTTGTCAAGGCCGTGGATGACACGGCGCACGTAGCTAGTGATCATGGCCAAGACTTCCATATCAACGTCGGGCCTTGCATTGAAGACGTTCCTATTCATGTATTAGCCTTCGTTGAGAAGTTTAGGCAGGATGATAAATGGTCACATTACCTCCAAATAGCTGTGGCAAGAACGGCATCGCCTTTACAAAGACCTTCGTCGTAACCAGCAATCATACCTCTGTATTGGGAGTACAAATCCTTAAGATATGTCTTTCTTTGTCCACCACTAGTAATCTGGCCCGCCAGTGCTATCAGTAAATCTCCTCACGCTATGGTACGACTGAAAACAGACCTTATAAGTGTGTATCATCTTCCCTTCAGCATCATAAAAGAAATGGTCAACAAAATGCTGCTGCCATGTCTTGACCCTATCCAGATCGAGCGCCCGAATCCTAACAATGAGCATCCACATATGCAATACTGTAACCTGCGCCCATGACATGAAAGTTTTAGGCCTATCACAAACTATTATCATATCATCATCAGCTTCCCACCTACTCGACCCCAACCCAAAGAGAGCGATAACAAACCATCATACCAGAACCTCGCACTCTCCGAAAACTCTTGGCCCTCGGCATAAGCGGCTTGCTTCAGGCACTCATTATATAACTCCAGTGTAACTCCATGCGCAACATACGTCTCCGTAGTATTTGGCATCTTCTCACGCAGCTTCTCCGCCACCTTTCCAAAGATACCTCCGCTCGGCTTAGTTGCTCCTGGGCTAACTGGGCTGTCCTTGACTCGAGGTGCTACAGGTTCTTCATTAGAAACACCCTTGTTGCCCGGCGCAGTTTGCTGAAACTTCCATTGCGAGGTATGAAGTCTAGAGGTTAGGGTTGGGGGAGAAGATCGGAGAAGGGCTCTTCTAGCGGTGGTCTAGGACGCACATTAGCCCCTCCGAAAGGAGTGGGAAAGAATTGGATTCTACAGCTCACTCGACTAGAAGATAATCTCAGGTAGGTTGAACAAATACCTCTCGTAGTCATGGCTTTCTTTTTTCCCTTCCTCGATTTGCGGGTATGCTATTGATCGGTCCGATCCGATTGACTCTGGTGGTCGTGGTGCTATCTTGTTTGGTGGGGTGTTTCACCGTTTTGCACACTTTGTTTCGATGTGTAGTTCGGAAATGCTGGATGATTTCATCACTTCATGAAAACATCATCGGGCACGTTCAAAATGATTCAAATTTTGCAAGATCGCAGATACAGGCTTAAAGGAGGCTTTAGGGTTATTAACCCCCTTTGAATACACTTTCTCGCTCAGGCTGTTTCATTTTGTTATTCCTGGCTCGGAAAATAGTTTTTCCGTTGAGTTACTGTCCGCCGTCCCCAAATAATTTAGGTCTATTTCTCATATCCAGCAAGGTATTCATCTGGCTTACCGAGACGAGTGAGATAGTGTGAGCACCACAAGTAGCTCCACAGGCAGTTGACTTCCACGATATCACCCCACCAACACCGGAATTTGGCTACCTTTTCAAAGGGTGCTGTGGAGTATCTCATACGCTGTGCACTTTTCAAAGAAGGCGAAAGTTTGTCCTCGGTCAGCATAGATAACTTCTTTTTATGCTTGGCGCGGAATTTGTTACTTGTATAATAATTATTATTGTTATGGAAGATCCTTTGGCCGATTGCCCCTTTCCCTTTTTCACCGTGCCCAACATAATTCAGAACCATTCATTTTTTTCCTTTTTCGCCCTTTTCTCTCTTTCACCCCCGAAGAGACAGACACACACAACACACCGCTGTGGAGTGGAAACATCTTCTTAGAATCGGCATAGCACAAGACTCACCTATGAGCATATCATTTGTTCACAGCGATCAGGAACCTACTATCGCTGCGGTACCGTCTGCGGTGCAACTTTGTGCGACAAGATTATCTCCTTCCCGCAGGGGTTTGTTTTGTTTGGCTTTCTACCTTTCCACCCTTTTTGAGCTTCACTGTTCACCAAATACGAATTCAGTAGTAGCTGTCGTGCCCACCCGCGCCTCTTTCGAACAGCCCGGGAAGAAGTGGACCGGGTAATACTATGCTGGCATCTACGGCACCTAGACTATGATATTACAGCGGCATCGCCTCCCCGCATTCTAGTCACCTCTGAGCTACGACAAACCTTCGCCATGCAGAATAAAAGGCCCTTGGAAGTATCCGAACCCACCCACCCCACCCTGAGTTTACTCGCCCATTTTACCCACCCAACTCTCTCAACCAATTCTTCGGAAAATAAAGAAATAAAATACTTCGAATACCGGTATCTACATACACCCGGCCTGCTGTACAATGGACCCACTTATATAGCTTACCACTAATGTAGCACTCCATGAGCAACAGTCGAAAAAAGAGAAAACGAAGGATTGCTCCCTCGCACGATATACGAAAGATGAAATTGAGGGAATAAAAAGGAAGAGCACGAAATTGATAGCCCGACCTCATTACATCCAGTATTCTGTCTTTTCCCATAACGCCGCTCGGGTCTGCAGTGTCGTTTCGTTGGGAGTCCTGGAGATTGAAGGCTTTGCTCTGTTCACTAGGTTCAGACATTAGATTCATAATAGCTGCCACTTTTAACGTACCCCTAGCTTCTCCACTTAGTCGTTTCCCCTCGCCGGCCTGTGACGCGATGGTCCGGTTGGGTTGGGGACGGCCCCGATGGCCCGGCCATCCTCGAGTTCGCGGTAGTTCCTCCTAGTCGCTGACGCTGAACAGCTGATGAGCCATTAGCAACTTTTGTACCGGCAGGTGAGGGTCCCCGCGCTCCCGTGGTCCTCTTTGCCGCCATTCCCCCAGTAATCACGGAGCCTCCCAGCGGCCGATTCCCAGCTATTATCGTGGGTGGCTTCTTAGGTTCACGTTTTCCGGTCATTTCAGCAATGTCATCGAGCTCTTTGTCTTCACTGTAGCTTTGAGCCTTCATAAAATATATATCCGCTCCAGCTTGTAGGCCTTCCATAACAGGAACACGCGGAGTATACCCGAATTGCCTAACGTCTATTTCCTTGGCCGTCGCCGGGTCAAGCAACGAATTTTCCTTCTTAAGAAGTTCGAAAATATTCAGAGACTCGCCAGGGTTGATTTTGGTTGGATTGGTAGGTGTTATACAATCCATATCCACTTCTTTGCGAAGAACATGATCGATGTCAACAGCAGAGAAGAAAGCGCAGGACTAGGCACAAAAGAGTCAGTATTCGCTTCCTAGTATCGGCTCATACATAGCAAGTAAGGTCGTACTTGAGGGAGATCATTGATCCCTATTTGCTCCGAAAACATAGCCCTCGTCCACACGTTCGCTACCTGCAGCGCCATGGCAGTTTTGTACCTGTGTTCATGCTTGACCAGGTACCTGATCTCGTCGTGGACTGTGATCGCCAATCTCGCCTGCAGACCAAACTTCCTAATCAAGTAGTCCATGGCCACAATCAACAAATGCAAGTAATCTACCCCAGAACTCTGAATCGCCCAGTTTATTCTTGATGGCAAAAATCCATTCCTGGACAAGTTTCTCCTCATTAGCGCCTCTGTTATCCCTGCGCCCAAGACAGGTGTCCGCGGCCGTTCCTGGTCAGCAAATTTTTCAAGCGTGTTAAAGACAAAGCTTTCAGTTCCGCCATGCCAAAACCGTGTGGGGCTCAGGGACTTGCGCAGAGTTTGGTGACCTTTGGTCTTCGAATAAAGATCTGCCGCAATTTTGGCACACTTGGCATCTGTAATTGCTGGATTAAAAGCTCGTAGGAGCGTCGAGGCAAACCCGACCCCAGCACCATATATCCGGCCATAATTGAAAACCTTCGCGTTATCTCGTGAGATACCAAGGATATTGGCAGTCTTGGAATGCAGGTCTGTCCCATTGGCTTTGGTTCCTTCGAGTGTCATGAACCCAAGGGCATTCCCACCATGAATCTTGAACTGGGCATCGCCAAGAAGACTGGCAATCCAGAGCTCTTGGGAATCAACATCGGCTCCAACAAACGCATATCCCTGCGGCGCAATGACCTTTGCTTTCAATTCCGATCCAAGGCGGTGCTTCTTCGCGTTACTAGCCGTCAACCACGTTCTTTCCACAGCCCTTCTTGTAATTGTGCCCATGGGTATCAACTGAGGCAAGATAATCCCAACATCATCCAGGGATTCCTCTGCTTTTTCCACACCCTCCATTCCTTCCGTATGCTCAAGTTCGCTTCTCTGAACAACCATTTGTGACCGTATTCTATCTCTTGCCGAGATCCAATACGAGCAGGCAGCATTCATCTCCAAAGCCTCTCTTGCGAGTGGATATTCAGACGATAGCGTTTGCGATTCGAAATACTGAACGTAACCCTTGGCCAATGGCGTTGAACACCGAGATCCTGGGCCATCCTTGTGCGGAAGCTTGAAATAGACGCCATCGATATCGTTACAGATCGCCTCGTTCTTCTCATCGGACAAATCGCACTCGACCAGGGGTGAGCCCTTATATTGTTCCGCCTCTTCACGAGAAACTCTAAAGGTCCACCCAAACTTTCCCGTCCATACCAGAGGATGCTTGTCCCATTGCAGTTTAAGTAAGATGGGGGAAATTCGAGACCGAGCGGAGAGATTGATCTGAGAATCCCCCACAAAGAGATCCTTATACCATTTAGGCATTCCAGGCATCTTCTGTTTAGCCGGTTTCGGTTCCACCTCCCCCTTTTTCAGTTTGAGAAACTTGATCTCCTGTCCCGACCAGTCAAGCTGCCTTAGCCACTGGTCATTCATATAAACATCTGGCTTGTCTTTGACCTCCAGTGCTGTTTCCGCAAGTTCCACTAGGCGCTTTTTCACATCGTCCGAGGCTTGCCGGTAAGCCTTGTCAGTCTCTTCAACATATGTGTCCCAAGATCTGTTGACCGGGAGTATGAACGAAGAGAGATGCCGTAGAGCAGCGAAACTGACCGGATGTGGACAAACCCGTAAAAAATGCGGCAGCACCTTCCGATAGACCAGGTGTGTGGCGATGGCGTCCTGGGCGCAATAGCTCAGAAGCTCATCTAAGTTGGCCAACACATCTTCCAAATTCGTTCCCCCAAACCGGCCTCGCACTTCCTTATCGAGTTCGATACCGCAATGAAACTTTGCTACATCCCGTAATGAATTTATCGAACTCCGCCGAATCCACAATTCCTCCTCATCTTCACCCAGGCCCGCATCCAGCATTGCCAGAAGGTCGGGCCCGTGACTCTCCTTCTCAACCCTTTCCCTAAGTTCCCTCTTCTTCTGGTGCTTCATCCACACTGGTCTCTGGCGTGAGCACATCCCGTTCACTGCGACATGTAGGGACATCGTATCCAGGAAACAATTTCTCGACTGTACCAAATCATATTCTTCACGAACCCGTGCTCTATCAAAACCAACATTATGCCCAACAATCACTCGCGACTTGTTTATATCTCCAAACGGTATTAGGTGGCGCTGACTCTTGTTTTCCCCAAGCAACCACGGTGACAGCCAAGCATACCAAGCATCCTTGCTCACCGCACACGCCATTATCGGGAACGGCGAGAGTTTGTATAGAACTTCAACGTCGAACACAACCGCATCCTCCGTCGGTGCGTCAACACAACAAACACGAGACTCTACGCCATCACCAACGCTGTATCTCGTCCATCCAGACCTGTGCTCCCATTTAATAGGTGGATCCGGTATGCCCCCAAGTGCAAAAGTGTTAGCCATGGTGAGATATGGCTCCGACTCTTCGTTCCCAAGTCTAGTGAAATGTTCGTCCAGAGTATTACCCTGTAATTCAGGTAAATCGAAATCGATTGGTGGAGCTGCGTCTGAGGTTTTCCCATAAAGATCATGACGATCCAGATGTTCCTGAGCAAGCCCCACTAGCTCCGGCGGTGGGGGCTTGTGTCCCATCTTGAATATCTGAGAGTGCAACCGGGTAGATATTTGTTGAACCCCCAACTCATTAAGGCGAGCTTATGTCAAATGTCAGCAAATAGAGAAATCTTTACGCAAACAAATGTTGTATACCAGCCGACGGACCTTCCTCTAGTTTCTCCTTCGCTACCACCTTATCGGCGGCAGTTGAATATCTCCGAGGAGAGAAAAGTAGCCTTGGGGTGGCAATTGCACCACAGCAACTTGATAGACATCCGGAGGGGAAACGAAGAGCTGTTCGACTATTATTGCAAAACTGTAAAGACCTGACAGATGGAAGCATATCGCCGGAGAAAAGGCCAGTGATCCAGCACTGCACGATACGTCGAAGAATCCCCAAATATCTCAGTCCTTATTCGCAATCACGTTTATCGTTTGTTCGCCAGTAAAATAGAAGTCGCTGTATCGAGGAGCAATTTGATAGTATAGTGGACGGTGCGGTAAAGGGGTTGAAAAAAAGAATTGGGCAGAATTGGAGAGAATTGTGGAAGCCCTCATAAATGGAAACCGGACGAAGAGGAAGGCGAGTTATCTCATCCGGCGTACAACGTGGGAAGAGGGTGATGGAGAATAATTGTGTTCCTGTGAGCGCGGGCGGCAGGGACGGGGAATGACGGTGCCAAGAGGTGGGAGAATTTTTGACATATCCAGCGGCACTCTGCACGGGGTTTAGGGGGGGCCCTTCATTGAGCTGCCAACAGGATGGTTGGGCACCGAGGGAGGGGGTTTCAACCGGTAATCTCTATCAATCTTCCCAGGCCCACCGCACGCCCATTCTCATGATAATAATAACCATAATATTATCATAACAATAATAATATGATAATATCATATGAATCAAAAATTAGAGAATTCATAGAAAATTAGAGAATTCCTAGGCAAACAATCTGACGTATGATATCACCGTATTTGGACCTTTACCACCAAGCTATGATGTTTTTACGCTTTTAAAATTAGCACCTGTTTGGCAACATTGCGACCGTTTCCCATATAAAAACACTTGTTCTTGCGTTTTGAAACGGGGGCGGAACGGTTGTATCTAAACAGGACCTTATTTCTTTCAAATTGGATTCTGATAAAATAAGCACTTAAGCAATGACATTGTACCAGGTTAATAAAATATTGTTATCTGGTAAACAATGCATTGTTTTCACTTTCTTATCATCTCTTGCCTAGCGGGTTGATGAGGTTGTCTCTGCAACCTATCATAATACAATAGTCTATCTCCCCATTAAAATGTCTAATAACTCAACAATTAAATTCAATATCACATCAAGTAGTGATCTAATTGACATAACACTTGATACCGGTGCCATAGATGCAGTAAAAGCAGGAGATATTTTTAATACGAAAAAAAGTATCTTGCTATTTCTTTTTTTAACTTTTTCGGCTCTAGAAGATGGAATAAATTGCATTAAAAAAGAAAAAAAAGGCTAAGCTCATGGATATATATGCTTTACCTAACCCACCATCTTGCTGGGCCAAAAAAAAAAAAAAAAAAAAAAAAAGATTTCTGGTGTTGGGTGCCCATGTGTAGGTTCTGATCAAAACGCATTCATTCCGGGGGGCGATGGCATTTGATTTGATATCGACCATCCTCTCTATCATTATATTATTAGAAATTACCGAAAAAAACAGTTGACTGCAATGGAGGAAAAGTCATTCTAACGGTCCTCTGGCTCCGCGCACCACACGATCGAAGAAAATAGTAGGACAACGCCATCCCCCACTAAAAAAAAAAAAAAAAACAGTGTTGTTCGGAATACCAGCATGACACCATCAACAAATACCTAGAGGAAAAAAGCTCGCAGGATTGCATAGATAGCTTCGAAAATCCCTCCATAGCAGCATTTGTCGGTGTTCGCCGTAGGTGACAGGTACCAAGGTCGGTTTCCGCGAGGGCAGGCCCTAAGGTGCTGACACCATACGAGTGTATGATACGGTAGCAAACTCGAGTACAGTGCAGTGCTTGACGAGAGTACTGGTACTATGCTATACAGTACAGTAAGAGGGGGGGGAAAGAAGTAGTGCGACACAGTAGCAACTGCTTCCCACAAGATCGCAACTCTACTCCCAACCCCCATCACTACAATACTCACTATATCCCCCACCACCTGCCAAACCATTTCAGAAAAGCACTATGAGGGTAAAGGGAACCCACAGAAGTGAGCGTAAGTAGTTTAATTAAATGAATATATACATAAAGTTGAAATAATAATAAAATTAAATGATTTAGAGATTAGTCCATGAAATCTTGAGCAGTGGTGATCGTTGACGAAGAAGGGACAGCCCTTCAAGCGGGAAACCACGCATGATGACTGGATCTGTATTATTGCTCTCCAAGAAATAGCGGAGTGGTCTTTCAGAAAGATAGCTGCCGAATTGGAGGAAAAAATAGGCCTTAAAGTTCACCATAGTACCTGTGCTCACATGTAATGATCCCTTTCTGGATAGTTAGTTCTTGGCGACGGAGAACGATACTTCTCTTTCTGTCTTCTTCTTTCTTTGTCTTACGATAGCCCTAGGCCTCTGCCTACGTTACCGATAGTACGAGACCTTTGTCTTCTATCGGGAACGCCTATCGTAAGCTTTCTCTAACTCGTCTTCGTGAAGGACTTTTCTTGGCGTAACAATAACGGTGCAATAAAGATAAAGATCGTAGAAATGTTTTATATTTGTTAAAGTAATAAGTAGGAAAAGTACTTAGAATAAAGCGTGAAGAACCTATCTTCCTCGGCCGCCTCGGCCTTCTTATATAGTATTCTTCCCGCTCGTAGTCATGTAACCTAAAGTGGTCACATGTGCGAAACCAAATCATAACAAACTAGTCATGTGACCAAAGTGATCACATGCTTAAAACCCATGACCTCATAGCGAGGTCATGTACAAAAACTCATAAACCAATCATAACGCAATAAACAAGTCATATGACTCGACTGAGTCATATGCGCGAAACCCATGACCTCATAATAAGGTCATGTGCGAAACATAAATCATATGCGCAAGGCTTACCTGCAAGGCACACTCGCAAGGCATACTCGCCAAACGTACGTCCCATGACTCATACTTAAGCCATGTGCGAAAGCATCACAAATCCCACACATAACAAATCATATAACCCAAATGAGTTATATGCGCAAAACAACAACATACCTGTGACTCATAACCATGTGTTACGTGAAAACCTTTTCCATGCCAAGCCACGTTCGTGACATCACATCTATCAACGGTATCGGGAAACAGGTAGTCCTTCCAACTATCAGCGAACAGGAAGACCTCCAATCTTCCAGGAGTTTGATCTACTTGATCTAAAGTCTTTTATTAAAGAAAATAAAAGAAATAGAAGACTCTCTTGGGAGGATATTAAAGAAGAGAAGGGATTAAAGGCATTATTCAGGACAATTAGGAAGGCAGCTAAGAGTTTTAATTTAAATAAAAGAAGACCACGCAAGAAGTAAGTACTTTAATGAAGATTCAAGTGTTTACATAACTAAAAGATATTTTAGATGGGGATTGTATCCTAAAAATATACCAATTATATTTGGTTGGTGTATGAGAAAAAGAGCTTGGAAACTAAGAGACTGGTCCAGAATCATATGGACTGATAAAACCTCATTCTCTACAGCTGGATTTGGGGAGAGAGGATGAGTGATAAGAGAACCTTCTGAGGAATATGATCAGGATTGCATTGATGAGGTCTGGGAGTGAAGAAGGGAGACAGTTATGGTATGGGGAGCCTTTTGTGGGGATTTGAGGTCAAAGCTAGTGGTAGTACCAGGAAAGGTTAAAGTGGATTCTTATGAGTATACTAAGTATATTCTGGATCCAGTTTTAATTCCTTTCTGACATGAGTGTTGTGAGAGATTTGGTTGGACTAGGGTTGTTGAAGATGGTACCTCAGGGCATAAAGGGTAGGTTCTACCTCCATATAATTATTGTATTTTCTGTTTTTTGATATAGAAATACTTACTTAAGAATATAATCTAACTACTCGTTTAATCACAGATATTCTACAAAGTGTAGAAAAAGGAATGGGGTGAATAAATTGCCCTGGCCACCACAGTCACCAGACCTGAACTTAATTGAAAATATTTGGGGAGATAAGGAAACTTACTTGGGGAAAAGGTATGGAAGAGTTGCAAGCAAGGAAGAGCTAATCAGGGCTGTGGAGGAAGCATGGAAAGCTATTCCTGATGGAAGGTTTATGGATCTTTACAGAAGTATGCCAAAGCAGGTCACAGAGGTTATTAGAAGAAAAGGGCACCAAACTCATTATTGATTTATGATTTTCTTTTTATTTTACTTTAAGGAAATACTAAGCATTTTTTAATTTTATCTCCTTTACTTATTTTATTTATTGAATGTGGTTGTGGAAAATGGTAGTACTATATGTTGTTGATATTATTTCTGTACGGGAATTTGTGTTGCACAGGTGTCGCATTACTTTCTTCTCCCTCCCTTGTACATACCTGCGTGGTACCTAATCTGAGCAAACACTCGCAACGGCCAATTGATTCAATGAAAAAGCTAACACTGTGATATTGGGCCCCATTTTCATATTTGGTATCGAAATGACATGCCCTGACCCCTGTACTCATACTCTGCCTAAGTACTCCAAAGGGAGTTTGGCCCTGCATCCCAGTCAGTTGATTTTCATATGGTGCGCGACAACAAGACAGGGCCCTGAAAACCAAGCACTAAGAAAAGGAATTCAGGGAACAACCAACCCCTGAATTTACAAAAAATAAATCCTTAGTAATGAAATTAGGAAGCTAATAATGAGATATAAAGTGAAAAAATAGAAAAAAAGAGTAGCAGGGAGGAGGAAATAGAGAAGAAAAAAATGAGTGAGTTTAGATAAGGGGAGGGAAATTTTGAATGCCAAGACATTAATGGCAGGGATAGGAGCAGAGATAAGAGCATAGAGCTAAACTAGAAAAGGATAGTTTACAAAGCTTATGTAGAGTCAGATTAATTTGTAGAGACATGACAGAAGTAAAATATAACCATGTTATTCTGCTCATATTATTGATTACTGCTTTGATCTCTCTATTTCTGCCATTCCTAAGCCTCTTATTACACTTCTACAATAACAAAAAAGATCCTGTTAGTCTAATCTCTTATATAAACTGTAAAAAAAATCACTCTGATAGAAGTCCACTAAAGCCTCTGCAAGGTATTAAAATGATGATTGAAACTTCCACATATATTTCAAGACAACCATGGCTTTTGATAATGAATAAAGTAGAAAATGAGAAAGTGAGAGTGCATGTAAGAAGATGAGTGTATGAGAGTGTGAAAGTGGATGAGAGTAAGTAAGTGTGAGAGGGTGAAAGAGTGGGTAAGTGAGTGTGTGAGGCAGCAGGTAGGAGAGGAAGTGGGTAGGTAAGTAAGCAAGTAGACAGGTAAGTAAGTAGGTGATTGGGCAAGTAGGCAAGTGGGCAAGTAGGCGAGTAGATGAGTAGGTGAGTCAGTAAATAAGTGAGTGGATGAGTCAGTAGATGAGTGAGTGAGCAAGTAGAAAAGTGAGTGGGTGGGTAGTTGAACAAGTGGGTGAATGAGTGAGTAGGGGGGTG